TGGAACGGATGATGTTGGATTTACGTACTGGAATGGCGAATTGTGGATGAGAAATGGCGTGGATCGGTTTCCTTAGATGGGTTTGATTACGATTTTATTTTATAATTATTTTTAATTGTTTACGCATGAAAATATCTTGTTCATCCGGGTAAGATCTTTTTACGAATATATAATTGTGTGTATTTGACTGAGTTTTTGTAAATTTATATTTATAGTTATTATTTCAAGACGATTATGTTTGATTTAAAATACTAGAAAAAAAAAAAAAAATAAATTTTTGTGAGAATGGAAAATGAAGATATTAATGATGGTTTAAAAATTAACAAAATTTTAATGGAAAAATAATAAACAAAAATTTAGTACTAATAAATGTTACATTATACTATTTTGTTTATTAATTATATAATCTTGGAATTATATAATCTTTTCTCTTCTCTTTTACAATTTTAGTTTTTCCATCTCATTGTACATTACATAGAATTGTATATGTCACTATATAATATACAAAATTATACAATAATAAAAATATAACTACAAGTAAAAATGAAGACTTAAGCAACAAAATCAGAATGAATATTTTCTGTTTCATAGAATATATTATAATCTAAGAATTTATATTGATTGAGACCACTATAAATAAACCTCTTCATTCCATACATTTCTCTAAATGGTTAACTTTTTTAATTTAATTGGACATAATATATAATTGTATATAATATATACAATTTATCAATTCAATATTCTTCTGTCACTGTAAGACAGGTATCGATTCTTTATCGATCTGCACAAATCCTCCATACATTATTCATAAGCCACTCGACACGCCACTTCTCGAAGTTCTATTTTAATGCAGCCGTAACAAAACGTCTATGAAAAGTGACACACGTAGAAGCGTAAATAATGAAGTTCTCACAGCTGTCTTCGCTACATCGTGACCAATTCACAGGACGATTCTACACATTGGTGGAATGACTTCCGACGATGAACCAGACGTGACAAGAAGTTAACCACTCAAGTAAAATCCTCGACGTTTGATTGGCAAGACAAACACTCGACATCGAAACGCACATCGTCGATGGAAACGTTGAAATTCCTACTCTCTATACGTTGGAAATCACATTCCATGATGAACATAATTTTTCAACATAATTTATTCGCAATTATTAACTGGCAACCAATGAAAGCTTCCAATTCATTTTCTTTTCATTTTTATTTTTATTTCATTTAATTTTGAAAAATATTATACTCGAGATTCTAAAATTTAATTTTTTTAATATTTCTTTTAATCTTTAAAGGATTCTTAAGAAGATTGCAATTTTCTATTTAATGGAGAAAATTTTAATCCTTGTTTATTTCAATATAATTAATAATAATTATTATAAATAGAAATGATTTATGACAACACTGAAAAAATTAAAGATTCTTTGATTATTATATTTGAATATTTGCCATGACAGATGTCTAATATATATCAAATTTTACTCCACACCTCTAAAAATAAATTATTACGTATAGCTTTGTGTACGAAAAATGGGAAGATACACGAAAAAAACGTAAGAGAACACTAATGTATTATATATAAATCTGCAATAAAAGAAAAACATAAATGCTTTTCTTAGCACAATCGAACCATAAAATAGCCTGAATAACCAGAAGACTTGAAGAAAGGAAAAACCTAAAATAGAATGTGCTATCGAACCGTAAAGTCTCATCGTAATTAAGAAACCCTTTCCCAAAAAGATGACAATCCTCCTTTATGCCTCCAGGCCGTTAGTTATTGCGAGAATTGTCGATTTGGACGGTGGGTTGTCGCTCTCGTGGATATCTCGAGGACAGATTTTGCTCGTTATCCGCGCGGGAAAGGGACGGGCAAGACACCCTCGTCTGACATAGACCGATGTCTATGCAAAGCATTTTGCTTCTCCCTGCGTTGCCCGTCACTCACTTTCGCTCTTCCTATCCGTGTTTCTCCCAGTCGTAAATTATATACGCCATCTCTATACACAAAGGGGATAAGTCGTTAAATCGTGGCCAGAATCGAGTCGGCCGAGAAAATAGAAAAAGAGGAGAAAAGAAAAGGAGGATCGAAACCGGATGTCGTTAGACGTCTATATGAAATTTCGAAAAAGCATCTAGGATCACGATGCGATTGTGCAAACACGATCGTTAAACGACCACGTGTTTGGCATGAGGGCCTCCTGGCATGGAATCGCGTGCCATGTGCAATTTGCAACCACTAAAATTAGACGTTTCACCCACCCCTGGTATGGGGAGGTCAAACTGATTTTCGATATTTGATTGGTTGCTGTTCATTAAAGAGGCCAAACGTTATTATTAAATTTCGTGCAGGATATTTAAAAGCTTTCTTCTTTAATCTTTTTTCTTTTATATATATATATTTTTTGATAATATGTAAAATTTTGATTTATTTCATTAATAACGTTGTTTGTAAAAATTAAAAAGTTTTAATTCTAAAACTTATTGTTTTTCACTTCAATGATGTATGAAAAATGAACGAATACATGGCTAATTTAAAAATGAAGAAAATTAACGACATAAAAACAATTTCTGTAACAAGAAAATAATCTATTATCGTATTATAAATATTTCCAAACTTTTTTCTCGTAACATCACTATTAAAAATTACGAAACAATAATCTCTACGTAAATTATCTCAAAGGAAAATTCCAAATAAAATATCACATTAACACAATATTACTCCTTAAATCAATCGAACGATATAAAATTACTTCGTTATTTCGTACATAATCTCAAAAATCACGTTGTCCTCCAACGATTTTCATTCAACAAGCTTGGAAACCTTAGAAATAATATGTCTAGACGCTGATTCATACATATGATTTGCTTTTTTTAATGTTTTTCTTGATACACGCCTCGATGTTGTTAATGGGGTATTCATTCCTTTCGGGACAATCTTACAGCCAAGAGACCGCATCGTTTTCAACCCTTTTCGCCATCGTGAACGCATATCTAGTGTTTCACAGACCAGCTCTATAAAGCAGATCGTAAACTTGTCGAATATGGTATGCAGACATTTATGTGCCGCCATGAAAAGGACATTTGAAGAGGACTGTTTTGAAAGTTAGAGAATTGAAACAAACGTTCGTCTGTTATCATTCACTATTGAAGTTGACTCATTATAATGCCTTTTAAGAACGTAATTAATTTATTATTTGCTCGTTTTATGAAGCAACTTTTATGTCACACTATAAATACATCAACGATTGTAACATGTCTTGTGATTATGCAAGCAGAAAACAAAGGATGCTTGGACAGATATTTGCAGTTTGCATGATAATTGATGCTCGTTCCTTTTTTTTTATCGCAATTATATCACGCTGACAAATAACAGCAGCTGCGAACATTTATCTTCTTCCAATAATACACTGGTATATGATATATGAAGAATATGCTATCATGCGTAATGCTATCTTGAAACTGAATAACTCCCGCGAAAAATTAAAAAATTTCTCGAATAATCCCAAAGATAGATATAATAATAGAATAGAGGATAATATGAAATATTTATTTTGAATATTAACAAAATGAAAGTTGAAGAGAAAAAATTTCAAACATTTCCAAAAATGTTTATAAAATGTGAGATTAACTATTCCCAAAATCGATAACAAATTTACCTGAAAAATTTTGAAATAATATCATTATTTTTTTCTAACACCAAACGATATATTAATATACTAACAATATTAAATTCTTAAATTTCATTAATTTTTCGACTTAACCAATTTTCGATTAAATCCTATTTTCTTCGTCTCTAACAAGTTCCATAACAATAATACATATTACAATTTTTTTACTATTCAAACAGAATTAATTAAAAAAGAACAAATATTGTATATTATCAGTCTCTGATTCAATCTCTTTTATCAGAAAGTTCTATTACGCTTTATTTATAGCCCGTAGTGCGATGCGGTATGAATTTTACAGATCGTCAGATCCCCAAACACACAGGTCAAACTTACACAACACTCTGGCCCGATGGCTGTCCCCACTCCAACAGTGCTCCGTATCAGCCGCGGGACCGTAGTCGGCACGGGTGGGGAGCCCGTAGTTGGCTCAGGTGGGGGGCCCGTAGTCGACTCAGGTGGGGAACCGTAGTCGGCATGGGTGGGGGGGCCCATAGTCGACTCAGGTGGGGAGACCGAAATCGGCATGGGTGGGGGGCCCGACATGGGTGTCGACACGAAAGACGGTGGCGGCGCTGATATGGTCCCGGAAGGTCACCGTGGGAGTAAAAGTCTCCCCCTCAGGGGGCCGGGGTGTCCAATAAGGATTTCCCCCACGTTAAAAAAAAAAAGTTCCATTACGATACAAAGATATTTTTCATAACGATATTACACTCACAATGTTCGCATTTATTACGAAAAAATAAAAGGATATTATTTTTTAATTGATTAAATAGTGCGAATAAATTGAATAATCTTCTTTTTACATTTGAATAAAAATTCGTGTTATACTTAATAGTAGAATATTAAAATCTAGAATAAATAATCTATTAAAACGAATCATAAATACAATTATATTTAAAAGAAATATAGAATTTCAAAAAAATATGAAACAAATTAGCTATATACTAATATTTTTATCAAATGTAAAATAGCTTTAATTTAAAAGCAAGTTTATTATTCCGAGAATAATAAAATGAGCTGCAACCACAATGTAGCTAGACATTTCCTTGATATTTATAATTTTTCTCCAATTTTTTCTGAGATGAAGAGTCGGCTATTCTTTAAATTGCGCTTGCACTTCAGCACATCCCGGTAATGTCGTTTCGTCAATGGAAGTTTTTAATTGCTGTCTAGTAACTGGTGAATTAAAGCTTCTTCAAACCACGGTTGGTATGTGTGATTTACGAGCCTTAAACGTCCTTTAATGTCTGTTGGACAGACATTAGGCTATCATATGTGGTGACGGGACGAATTGACCGTGCTTTGTTCGTTTCATTTTTTTCTCCTTTTTTCGTGTTACGAGGATGATTTACACATCTCAAACTGGCTTTATAAGCACGTCTGTTCTCTCTTCGAGCTGCTTTCAATATTCCATTCCTTCTCAATGATCACAAATATCCCTAGAATTTTATTTCTTGTTTGAAATGTAATCGTGATTTATCAAGATTGCGTCCAACATAATTGCGAATAATTTGTGATACGTGTAATTTTATGATTGACAAGTTTCTACTTTTTTTAGTCTTCTATTTGCAAGCAATTCTCTAATCCTCTGAATTTCCCTAATATTTCTGTTTTCTATAAAATTTCTAATTTTTAATGTAAACTTTCTAGCTTCTAATTTTCAACCTAACAAATGAACAACTATTTATTCATTATATATCACATCTTACCACGTTTTAAATCAACTTCAAGAAAACAATACATTTGCATACAAAATGTATCCTCGGTGGTCGTAAAATATTATTAACAATAAGTTAACCAGTCATTGTACCGCAATATAAATGTGGAAATGTAAACAGTATGACCATTATTAATTTAACTTGCAAACAACGCACGAATTTCTCAGCAGCAGTATGTTGGATACCGACCAACTACCTCGACCCAGCATGTCTTCCTCATCAGATACAATTATTGTTAAACAACACCGTGGTCTCAAATAACAGGAAGATATGCGAAAAGAATTCGAGAAAATGTCGGGAATCATTTTTTATTTTTACTCATCACCGACTTCGATGTAATCTTGTGGGCGTCTCGTTCGAATAAAAATCTGTGATTGGTGGTCATCAAATCTAATTTTACTTCGATCCTTGAGCTGTTACCATTTTTTTTCTTCTTCTCCAACGATACACTTGTAATCCTACGTTTTTTACGTAGTTAAAATTGTCACAATTTATTATATCTATTATATTTTTCTTCGGTTCAATACAAGTGTAGAAATATTTATAAGAAATTTTCGTACGTCTTTGATCAGTAAGAAATATCCTTCCTTTCCATGTGTGTTGTTTCATTTTTTTTTTTAATCCTCGATTCGAGACAAAAGTTTAATTTGGTCAGATTCTATTTTTCATCGATCGATTGAAATCCAAACACGAAACCGTTGGTTCCTACGATCTAAGCCTCAACATTCACTTTGTTTCCAGACAAATGAATCGTTTGTTTGAGCAATTCCTCCAGACTATCTACCAAAGCGTTAAGCACAGATTCTTGTTCCACAAAAATAGGTACAGCTGCTTTGAGAAACGCTTGAAACACTGTATAGATCGGATATCTGTATTCTTGTATTCTCTAATTTCCTTTTCTAGTGTGTATCCTTTCCATGTTTCATTTGAAATAGTTTGTTGTTTTTTATTGTATTTTCAATATCTCAGTTTTGTGTTTTTAAATTGCTTTAAATGTTTTAAAAAATTCTTTAAATTGCATGTGAATGAAGTATTTTTTAATTATAATATGATTTCAAATGATATCTAAATATTTGTTTGAACAAACATTTAAAAATATTAATTTGATTGTATTTAAAAATGTTTGCATATAATTAAAATTCATAATTTATATCAAATCCTGAAATTCCGAGAATATTAAAAAGAATCTTACAATTTTTTTTAAAAACTAAAGAACTAAGAACAGAAACTTACGATCATTTTACAAGAAATCATTACTCCTTTTCTATTAAATCCTACACAAATTTAATTACACATTTTTAAAATCATTTAATTTTCAGATTCTTCAAAACCAGAATAACTGACCAGACACAAAATGCAAGCAACTCTCTTGTCATTTTACTTATAACACACGATTCATGTACTTTAGAAACGTGTCTGCTCTCGTGCACTATAAATCTAGGCAAAGCGTTACACAAAGATCCGATTGTCCTGGAAACTGAAGTATCGCAAAAACAGCGGAAAGGAGGTGAAGTGGATAAATCACAGAAGAGATTTACGATGCAAAAAGCAAACACGCGAAGGGACGACGAAACCGATGTAACCGCGTTTCAAATTGACGCGCGCATTAATAGCTATTCTTCAACATGGCTCATACACATGGATGATATCACTTGCGCCATCTGGAACAAATGTATATAAAAATGGCGGAAAGATAATAAGTCTTAAAGAGACTAATAAGTCTTATTTCTATTGTGGTTACCATACAAATTATATTATCAGTTTAGATTATTTATCATATTAAGTATAATATAATAATATAACTTACGTGCGTCTACAATATTTATAAGTATTTTTATTTAGATACAAAATATCATAAAAAACAGAGAATCAACAAAAATGAATTTATCATGTTTTTCTTCTATAATCTTGATACACCGATATGGATGGAATCGACGTTTCTGTCAACATGAATTCCAATAGCCATAAAATATATCAAAGAAGAGATGATTTATAAGTCTAAAATTATAGAAAACACTGCACTCTCAGCACTGGAGTAGTATACACATTTATGTACAGCCATCTGTTCGAACTAAATACCGCAAAGAGAGTATTCTATATCGAAGGAACAATATTATCGGGTGAAATTGTCAATTATTTTTTTATATCTAAAGTATCTCGTATATTTTCAATTTCATTACGTTTTAATAGATAGCAGGTTCATTGATTGTTAGCCAAAAAATCATACACGGTTGAATACGAATTGTAAAATGTCATCAACTTGATGATAGTTTACTTTACTTTGAATTATTTTATTTTTTTTTTTTCAGTGATTGCTTGATTATGAAATATTGAGATTCATAAAAGAAATGTATTGTGACATAATAATTTAAAAAGAAATCTGATAAAATACTGAAGCAAAAAATATATTCCATTTCCTATTGATGTAGAACTATCTTTTATAAATTTAAAAACTCTCAAATTAATTTTCTTAATTAAATAATAATTTATAATATCTTGAAGAAATTATTGTCATATATGTATTGTAATATAAATTACGATAAATATACTTACACATAGATAACAATAAAATTACTGATATTTTCCTAAATATATGTTATATGTAATATATATATATATATATATATATATTGTACATACGTGATTCTACATATTTAACATAATACGATATCTATAATCTAATAATTATTGTTTAATGATGTAATAATGATATAATGATTGATAAATAGTTTTATTCTTTCCATATTAATTTTTTATTTTCATTATAATATAATGATCCTACTTCTAGATACGAAATAAATAAAGAAATATCTTTCTTCATCAAAGTAGAATTTATGAACGATCTTGTGTCACCCGTAGACATGGCAAAGTGACTGTAATTTATAATTTATTTTCGCGAATTGCAAATTTTAAGAGGTATTTTCGTGCCAAACACGTGGCGCCTGGACGAGATACGTTATCCGTATAAACGTTTATATTCGCAGTGTGCAACAACTGCTAATCTCGGTTCGAAAAATATACAACGAACGTGAAATATTTTTCAAATTTTCAATGTTGGAAAGAAACCTGTACGAATGAGTATAGATTTCACCTCTGTTAGCAAAATTAACTAAAGAATTCTAATTTTTAATTAAGAAGAAGATTAAAAAATATTGAATAAAAATTATGAAAAATATGAAAGTATAAAAGAATAAAATATAAATATAATTATATTGAAAATTTTCTGGTTTCTCTTATATAATTATTTAATAATTTTAAAATTACAAGATATAAATTTTTACAGTTATTCAAACAATATAATTTATTTTCAAACCTTTGTTTATTATGCAAATTTATTAAAAACTGTAACTTTATAAAATTTCACCACGAATATTTATGTATTCATGAGCAAAATTAAGTATAGAAAAATATCTGTACAATTGTATATAACATATAAAAAGATATAGATGTAATGTACCATTCATAACATTGATAAAATAAATCTATATTTAAATTCCATTCGATTAGTCACGTTCATAAAAATATTAATCTATCATTTCTTTAGTCACGTTCATAAATATTAATCTTTCATTTCTTTAGTCACGTTCATCAAAATATTATTACGATTTCGTTTTATTAGTCACGTTCATTTACACAAATGTCTATTATATTAATAATATGAAATAATAATAATAAAAAATAATAATTACACTATTTTATTAAGTTCTTCTATACTTCCATATTTTTCATGATTCAACTTCTCTAACTTTCCTCTTAATTAACAAAATAACAATAAATATTTCCAAAATAATTTTATTTCATTTTTTAAACATATTCATATCAAAAAAATTAAAAAAATATAGTAAAACAAAATATATCTGTTCCAAGACTCGATATATAATTTCTAAAATTTTCAGGATTATTATACAAACGAGAACGCTTTTAGAGGACTTCCAGCAAATTACGCGGAAGTGGCCCGGAGAATGTGTCGAAAGTGCGTGTCATTCCACCGAGAAATCCCTGCGCCCAGCTATTTCCGTCGTGGTCGCAGCGACATCCCCAACACACCCCCACTAAAGTTATCCGACATGCGTTCCAGCATAAGGACTCTCATAAATATCACTCGATGCCTTTGGCCGCGGTTCTCGACGTTGCGTGATGGCCAGGCCTCCTTCGTTTCCTAGGTGGAACCGCAACCGCGATGGAAACGCGCCATTAAGCCGATTGGAGTATCAGAAAGTGAGGAAGGGAGCTACTCGTGGATAAATCATCGAGATGCATAATATAACTCCTGCAGTTGGACCAATGAGAATTGCCGGGGAATGATTGGATTTGCCAAAATGTTTTCGCGTTTTCATCGGTAGCTGATGTCAAGCCATCGGAACATCGATATTATATATAATATTATATATTTATCATATGTAATTTTATATATAATTTTTTTTTAATAAATATACTTTTATCAAATCTTATTTGTAATTTCATTTATTTCGATTATTTCTTCTAATGAATATATATAAGTATTATTATAGTATCTTTTTTAATATTTAAATATTCCAAATCTTTGAAATTCTCTTCCATAAATACAATATTAAAAAAGATACTGTACTAATATTTAAATATTCCAAATCCTTGAAATTCCCTTCCATAAATACAATATTATTATAAACATTTCTAATACTTTTTTTTTTGTCATTGTTTCTTGCTCGAATTAAATTTTGGAATTTCATTAAATTTAATATATATCTTAATTTTAGAAATTAATATTGGTCTCTTGAAAAACTAACAAATAGAATCAATCCATTTTCAATTAGAACAGTACTAAATGCTATAATATTCCAAATATCAAAAATTACTAAAATTGAAATAGTTAATAAATTAATAAATTTATTCAAAATAAAATGAATCAAATATACAAACATTAACAATATATGCTACTTATTTTTTCAGTTAACAATCAAATCTCCTAAAAAAAATGTTTTCCTAAAACTAATATTTTCTCAAATATATGATACAATAATATCCTCCTACATCGAAACTTGGAATTTTGAAACAAAAATATGTAAAACCTTATTTCAAAAAAAAAAAAAAAGAAATGGATTCAGAGTATAGGCTACAAAGTTACATTTTACGAGCTGTGTATATACACCGTCTGCTCTCAGTTTGACGGTTTACAGTGTTGTGAAGTAGCAGACAGAAATGATCTTTGCATTCCGTTTTAGATGCAACGACGGTGCCAGTTTTACCGTAAAAAAAGAGTAAGGTTTATCATCTAAGATTAGGTTTGTTAAATATGTATCCGTATACGAGATGCATACATAATTTTGATACATTCGAATGCATCAGAATCCTATCTTATTAAAATGATCCATTTTTATACACCGTAAAAGAATGCATAGAATAAACAAAATTTAATAAATAAAGTTAATTGATTAAATTTAACTTGAACTGAAGACATCAAATGTTTCGTATACATATTAACGATGACTTAAAGTGCTTGCTGGATATTGTATATAGGTCAGAAGAATATGTAATGAGAAAGAACTGACTCGATTTAGAATCTCTATATTCGTCTTCCGCTACAATAATCAATAGGCATTTAGATATTAATACTATGTAAACGGATCTTGAGATATCTCTTTCTTTATTTCTCTTGGCTTAAAAGTGGAGAAATAGCAAACTATGACACATGATAAGTTTCAACTTCTTCAGATTTATTGGGATATTCAATATTCAATTATGAATTTTCAATCTTTATGAATTTATAGAATTATACGAATTTAAAAAATGGTTACCTCAAGAATGTTTTAGATATTTATGTACAACGCAAAGAGGTTATATCATAAAATGAAGAAAATGATGTAAAAAAGATGTATCTATCTAAATCTAAAAAAAATTTCTAATTTATTAGAAATACCTGAAAAAAATAGTTAACACGAATCAGATATAATAAAGAAAATACATTACATTGATAAATTCAAATATTCCATGTACATGTATATTTTCAAAGTTAAAATAGTACCATATAAGTTAATTATGTTATAGATCTATGAGCTGAAATAAAAGAAAAATAATCTTTATTGTATTTTATAACCTTTACAATTATCTATAGAAATGTTAAATATTTACTTATATTTATAATAACTTATAATAATCTATAACTTAATCAACTTGTAAATCATTATTTTTCTCCTAGTTAGTAAATTTTACAAAAGAATTAAACGAATACTAAAAGAGGAAATATATGAATTCTTAAAAAGTTAAAAGAAAATGAATGAACTAGACTATGTGTTATGTACAAAAAAAAAACTTTCAGAATAATATTTTATCAAATAAATAGACAAATATTCCATAGATCTCCTCTTTTATATTTAAAAAAAAAATCCCTATCCATTATGCTTTACAAAATTATTTTACATCAAATCATTTCAATAACCAAAACTACGTACGTACAAAACTCTGCACAATCATTAATAACACGTTACGAAACCTTTGCTCAAATATGTACATCAACACATTGGAAATTAAATTCCTTCTATCGTGTTTATAAATACTCCAAAACAAGTGTCGACGGGTCGTGTACAATGTATCAATGTTAATTTAACTTTGATGATTTCTCTCGCGCCATTTTGTCGGTATTTGTCGCGTTGTATCTTAGAGAAGGATTTGTCGGTTAATGCCTTGAATCGGGGATAGTTATTGTCTAGGAAATATCTTTTCTATCGTAAAAAGATCATTCTGCTCGACCGATCTTGAAATATAAATTCCAGCATATCCCGCGTGCCACACCACGGCCTTTTCTAACCCGTGTGCAAACCCGCAGGAAGTGAACGCGGTCGAGAAACGTGGGTGTGACTTGTACGTGTACCACGGTCTTGGCAAAATTCCAACCCGCGTTTCTACCCGCTTAAGCGAGAAAACGAGACAAACGGGATACGCCTTCGAACGATCTCACAGGGATCGTCAATTTGTAGGATCGAATTTTTTTTGACATTTTCTGGTTTTTTGGAAATTGGTCTATTATTGGTCTTCAGAATTACTTTTTGATAAAAACAAAGTAATTTTTATTATGATTTATGATTTATACAGCTATCCGTTTATGTTACTAATAAAGTTTATTTATTCATGTCAATACGATTCAAAAATAATCTTTATTATAATTTAGGTCAATAATAAAGTTTATTTGGGTATATTCGTCTCAATATACATTGAAATTTCAATTTCAAACATGTTAAAATATATTAAAACATGTTTGCACCAAATGTACTCATACTTCATAAATCTCTTCATTTACAACTAAATATCCTAAATATAATAAATATCCTAAAAGTATCTATTGATATCTATCTAAATATCATGTGTTTGTCTCATAATAAATCAATATAACTAAAAACACTAAGAGCAGATCTCTATAATCATTAATATTGGAAATGATTTATTTGAGTGGAAATAATAGTTACTAAAGTTAGATAATTGTTACTAATTGTAGAATTATTATTATTTTATAAAACAATAAAAAAAACAAAAAAAATGTATAATAATAAAATTTTTTTATAAGCAAAGTTTTCTAAATTTTTATTCTTATTAAAACAAATTTTAAAAGTTTGTTTTAATGAATCATTGTATAATGTAATAGAAATGTTGATAAATTATTATATCAGAGTATTTTAAAATTTTTTTAGATTTATCAAAAGCTGGAATCAGATATAAACGACTCATTTTATCTATTAATTATATTACATAATAAAATATACTTATGTAAATATAATGTTTACATATTAAAGATTAAAAATCTTATTTCTTCTTCTTTCTTATTTAATAATTTTCTTTTTTTGAAATTATAAAATTTATTTTCTTTTAAATATTAATAAGAAAAATATGCAAGGAATGATAAACTAATCCTTTTACAAGTAATTTTCAATTTTTTACAGAAAAATAAGAATACTACTGAATGCATTGATATAGTATATTATACTTATTATCAAGTAAACAAAGAATTAATCATAGTATCGATGGAAATATTAATGATATGTCTAGAATAACATTAACGTAGAAAGTGCAAAGACTTCGAGTATAGGATTTAGAAAGTGGCTATTTTGAAATGTATAGAATTATTTCTTTTCATGTGTATGTACATGTATATATGTGAAATTCTATTTTTCTTGCCTAATTCTTTTTACTTTTTCAGTATTATGAAACACCGAGATTACTTAATCGAAAGGAGAAATATGGCATTCCAATTTCCAAAGATGGACAAGGAGATTAATAAAGTGAAGAAATATGAGAATATCTTTGAAAAGATTCACATTCGACGTACCAAGGCTCTTGAGTGCTTTTCGGCACGAGGAATTCGTAAATATTTCGCTCATATGCTAAAATAAAGCGTTTCGTAGAGTGCGTCAGGTTTCCTGAGTCTCGTTGGCTGATTCATTATAGTTATATAGGAAATCGAACATGAAATATGAAATTATTATGAAATATTATGAAATAAAATAATTCTTACTTTATATATATTCATAATTTTCTTTAAAATTGTCCAGATATTTTATGTAAATTTGTAATATATATTATATATGTAACACATTGAGTCATGCTTAACTTCAAGATTGTTGAAATTGAATAAAAAAAAATAATGTTATGTTTAAATTTCATGAATCTTTAATGTTTAAAAAATTTCATTTTATAATAAAACATTATAATCTAAAAATGGTCGTATTAATTTTTTTAAGTTAAGAAATATGTGTGTAATTCAATAAAGTTTTTGAAAACTTTCGATGATTCAATTTAATCTATCCTAGCAAATTTTATATAAAATAAAAATTAAAAAGAATAATATGAAGAATTTTTCTCATTTCAATTAATTTATTTTTATTATTTCTATTTTATATCAAGATTAAATAATTTTAAAAAACTGACTACTCATTAATTATTTTTTCAAATAAAATGCATTTGATAGAATTTGTTCTCAA